TGTTTTATAGAATGTGATTGTAGCTTGACTATATGGCAGCAGTTGTTGTCTCTTCTTGGGTAATAAAGGGAGAGAAAGAGTCCTCCAAAGGTAGAAGCGGGAGCATAAAACAGCAATACAGCAACAGCAAGAAAACAAAACAGCAACAACAAAAACTAGACTGGATACTATAGTCTATAAACGTAGAAAAGGGAGAGAAGAAGGAAAAAAAAAATCTGTAGCCTAATATGTGTATAACTTCAATGTCCTCTTTTAGCTTCTTGCCTTCAAGGCTCCCTGAGAGATTTCAAGATGCCACTGTTGGTTTTTATGCTGTACCTCAGGATTTAATTTAATTTTCGGCCTGTTTTGTTTTTAAATTCTCTTTCCCTCTCCACATCCCTTGTTCTGGCTTTTTCGTATTAAAAAAAAAAATGTTCAGGGCTAGCTCTTGGGCTGAGAGTATCTGTGTTTATTCATAGCCGAAGAACCCACCAGTGGTGTGGGTCAGGGAGAGGCAGTTGCTCAGGTATCCCCTCTAGTCCCCAGAATGGAGATGCCAAAAATTGGGTGGCCAATGAACAGATATCAAAAAAAGGAAAATCAGAACAAAGCAAAACTGATAAAGTGTATTGTCCACCTTTGCTCTGAGGTTCCCACGGCATTTTTCCGTGGTGTATCTGCTTCCCAGCTTGATCTTGCCATTTGGTCTTATCCAAGTTGTCAGCTCCGGGCCGCTAAGCCTGGCAGATTCCAAAGTACATGATTCCTTACTTGTTACAAGTTCCACTAGCTATAAGCCTTCAAACTTTAAAAATATTCCTACTTATGTGGTTCCGAGTTTTAGAGCTCTGCCCTGAATGTGCTTTGCCTGGTATTCTGTGGTATTGCTGACGCTGAACCTCTCTGCACCTCCACCCTAGCTGCCATGAAGCCCTGCCTCTCCGTGATTTTTTTCCTTTACTTTTGATGCATGCTTACTGAGTAATGAATTCTAGGTTGGTGGGTTATTTTCTCCAATATTTTAAATATTTTACAATACTCTCTTCTTGCTTGCATATATTTTTGAAAGGTCCACTTTAATTTCTATCCATTTTCTCCATATAGGTAATATAAATGAGGCATTATTTTGTTTTGTTTTCTTTCCTTTCAATCTGTTTTTCTTTGTCATTGGTTTTCTGCAGTTGTATATGATATACCTAGGTATAAATTTTTCAGTATTTATCCTACATGAAGTTCTCTCGAGTCTATGGGTTTGTTGTTTGCTCTCTTTCAGTGATGTTGTAAATTGTGTAACTATTGTGACTTCAAATATTTTTTCTCCATTCTCTCTTCTCCTGGTATTATCATTATGCATGTGTTATACCTTTAGAAATGTCCCACAGTTCCTAAATCATCTTTATCTTTTTTTTCCTCCCTATTTGCATTTAAATCATTATCTTTTTTTTTTTTTCCTTCCCTATTTACATTTAAGGAGCT